AATATGGTTCCAATATATAGGCCTATGTAGCCTACTGCATTTATCTTTTAATGCAGTCATCTTGGTTTTCATTTTGAAGTATCTTTTGACCCTTTGCTTGTTTATAATAATTACAAAGACATTGGCAACTTTGTATTGTAGTCAACTTAATTCTAAAGTTATTGGCAGATACAGAGAGACAGAATCTTGATTCTATGTTTAGCAGAGCTCTTCTGTGTATAAAGTGACACGGAATGGGCAAAAAAGCATTGAACAACCCAGTTAGCTGTTCTACGAGTGGTCTGAGGCAGTCGGTTAATAACAAGTGTTTTACAAGTGTAACTTTAGTAACGATGGTTTTGGGAAACAGCTCTGAGATTTAACAATGAGCCTTTGAAAGTTCTGACGATGAACTTAGCCTTAAGATGCTTTTGGGAAACCGGGCCCTGGACAATAAATGATGTGAGACAAAATACATATATATATTTTTTTACATCATTTGAAGCGCAAATGACATTTTCGAAAGACACCTTTTGCATGTGAACATTTGGTATAATTTTTTATAATCACCATCCGGTGTACAAACCATGGAAATTAAAAACATAAAACTATGTTTTAAGTGAAAATTAGGCATTGGCCTGAAGCCACAAAATAAAGGAAATTCACATGAGCACCAGAATGCCTACTCCACCATGCTCTACCAAGGTTTTCCAGCACACAGCTTTGACCTAATACAGTAGCAATGTTGGTTTTGTACTTCAAACAATGTGTAGGCAGGTTCCTTAGGCTTGATGAATTGGGCTGTTTGAGAAGGTTTGAATCCTAAGCAACCTGCCTACACATTGTTGAAGTACAATAGACCAACATAGCTACTGTAGTAGGTCAAAGCTGTGTGCTGGAAAACCTTGGTAGAGCATGGGTGGAGTAGAGATTGTGGTGCTCATGTGAATTCAAATCAAACTTGATTTAAAGTGCATTTACAATCGCAACACACTTTACATTAAAACAATAACAAAATAACATAGAAATCACTTATTAAAAGCCTGGCTAAAAAGGTGGTTTTTTTTAAAAGTGATTAAAAAACTTAAATGGTGCCTCCCCCTCCTACCTGACAGGGCAAGCTGTTCCACAACTGAGGGGCTTTAATAGAGAACGCTCAGCCCCCTGCCTTGGTTCTGATTCTAGGAACCGTAAGCAGACCGGCTCCTTGGGAGCGGAGCGCCCTCACTGGATTGTATAGAACAAGCATGTCTGTCAGTATAAGAGGGGGGCAAGGCCATGCAGGCCCTTAAAAGTTAAGAGTGAGATCTTAAAATCAGACCGATACTTTACTTTACTTTACTTTACAGGCAGCCAATGTAGTGCAGATGCTGTAAAACTGGGCGGGGCAGGTAGCTTAGTGGTTAAGAGCCAGTTGTGCCAGTAACCGAAAGGTCGCTGGTTCTAATCCCAGAGCCGACTAGGTGAAAAATCTGTCGATGTGCCCTTGAGCAAGGCACTTAACCCTAATTGCTCCTGTAAGTCGCTCTGGATAAGGCCGTCTGCTAAATGACTAAAATGTAAATGTAATGTGTTCATGTCTTCTAGTATTGGTTAGAATCCCAGCTGCAGTGTTCTGTACAAGTTGTAGGCTTCTAATAGTAGAGTCTGAGCAGCTGGACAGGAGGGCATTACAGTAGTCTAGATTATATTAGAGGCTGGACAGGAGGGCATTACAATAGTCTAGATTATATTAGAGTCTGAGCAGCTGGACAGGAGGGCATTACAGTAGTCTAGATTATATTAGAGTCTGAGCAACTGGACGGGAGGACATTACAGTAGTCTAGATTATATTAGAGTCTGATCAGCTGGACAGGAGGACATTACAGTAGTCTAGATTATATTAGAGGCTGGACAGGAGGGCATTACAATAGTCTAGATTATATTAGAGACTGATCAGCTGGACAGGAGGACATTACAGTAGTCTAGATTATATTAGAGACTGATCAGCTGGACAGGAGGACATTACAGTAGTCTAGATTATATTAGAGACTGATCAGCTGGACAGGAGGACATTACAGTAGTCTAGATTATATTAGAGTCTGATCAGCTGGACAGGAGGACATTACAATAGTCTAGATTATATTAGAGTCTGATCAGCTGGACAGGAGGACATTACAGTAGTCTAGATTATATTAGAGTCTGATCAGCTGGACAGGAGGACATTACAGTAGTCTAGATTATATTAGAGACTGATCAGCTGGACAGGAGGGCATTACAGTAGTCTAGATTATATTAGAGGCTGGACAGGAGGGCATTACAGTAGTCTAGATTATATTAGAGTCTGAGCAACTGGACGGGAGGACATTACAGTAGTCTAGATTATATTAGAGTCTGATCAGGAGGACATTACAGTAGTCTAGATTATATTAGAGTCTGAGCAACTGGACGGGAGGACATTACAGTAGTCTAGATTATATTAGAGTCTGATCAGCTGGACAGGAGGACATTACAGTAGTCTAGATTATATTAGAGTCTGAGCAACTGGACGGGAGGACATTACAGTAGTCTAGATTATATTAGAGTCTGATCAGCTGGACAGGAGGACATTACAGTAGTCTAGATTATATTAGAGTCTGATCAGCTGGACAGGAGGACATTACAGTAGTCTAGATTATATTAGAGTCTGAGCAACTGGACGGGAGGACATTACAGTAGTCTAGATTATATTAGAGTCTGATCAGCTGGACAGGAGGACATTACAGTAGTCTAGATTATATTAGAGTCTGATCAGCTGGACAGGAGGACATTACAGTAGTTTAGATTATATTAGAGTCTGAGCAACTGGACGGGAGGACATTACAGTAGTCTAGATTATATTAGAGTCTGAGCAACTGGACGGGAGGACATTACAGTAGTCTAGATTATATTAGAGTCTGATCAGCTGGACAGGAGGACATTACAGTAGTCTAGATTATATTAGAGTCTGATCAGCTGGACGGGAGGACATTACAGTAGTCTAGATTATATTAGAGTCTGAGCAGCTGGACAGGAGGACATTACAGTAGTCTAGATTATATTAGAGTCTGATCAGCTGGACAGGAGGACATTACAGTAGTCTAGATTATATTAGAGTCTGATCAGCTGGACAGGAGGGCATTACAGTGGTCTAGATTAAATTAGAGTCCACGGTCAGAGGACAGCAGTAGGTAATTTACTACCTTGACAAGTGCAGTCTCAGTGCTGTAAAATGGTTTGAAACCGGATTGGTAGGTTTCAAAGATACTGTGTGAATTAAATAATGAGGTCAGCCGCTGGCCTTCTCTAGTATCTTAAAGGAAGCGGAGGTTTGAGATCAGTCGTTTTTTAGTTCATCTGGATCAAGTTTTTTTTAACCAGGAGTTCTTTGAGCAGCTTTGTGGGCATAGGGTCAAGTTGGCAGGTGGTAGGCTTGGAGTGCAGCCATGTCATCAGAAGTCAGGGGTGTTAAACAATCCAGAATTATTTTTCGACTTCAGACCAATGCCTGCTTCTCACTTAAAACATTGTTTTATGTTTTTAATACTCTTTATGTATACTTATATTCCCCATGTACCTTTGTATTGATTTATTATTGTTAATAAAAATGAATACAATTAGGTGCGCTTTGGGTGGGTGGGTAATACCCAGGCGAAGGAGATGGGACTGTATGGAAGGGAGTTTAGTCCAACGGTAGTTATTCCTGTAAATCCACCATGGCTGCTCCCGCCTCCAGTAGTTGATCTAGAAGTGTTGGAGAGACTACAGAAAGATAGGGAGGGTGTTGATCCATCTGATTTATTTAAGAGGTCTGGAAACTGTGAATCAGGATTTTGTGGCCATTTACACAGATGGTTCAAAAGATCCAAGGACAGGACGTACTGGGTACAGCATTTGTAGTGCAGGAATGTGGGGTGGAAGTCAGGAAACGTATTACAGATCATCTGGCTGTATATACGGCGGAGCTGATGGCCATACTGTTGGCCTTGCAGTGGGTGGAGCTGATGGCCGTACTGTTGGCCTTGCAGTGGGTGGAGCTGATGGCCATACTGTTGGCCTTGCAGTGGGTGGAGCTGATGGCCATACTGTTGGCCTTGCAGTGGGTGGAGCTGATGGCCATACTGTTGGCCTTGCAGTGGGTGGAGCTGATGGCCATACTGTTGGCCTTGCAGTGGGTGGAGCTGGTGGCCATACTGTTGGCCTTGCAGTGGGTGGAGGAAGATAAACCAGACAGAGTAGTTATTTGCTCTGATTCATGTGCAGTGTTAATGAGTCTCCAGTCCTTTAGCTCACGTAGCAGACAAGACCTGCTTTATGAGGTGCTACAAACCCGTGGCAGGATTAAACAGATGGGTATTCAGATTAGATTTACTTGGGTCCCAGCCCTTGTGGGGGTGGAGGGGAACAGGTTAAACAAGCACTTAGTAGTGGGGATGTTGATGTTGAAGTTTCAATGAGCAGGGCAGAGGCAAACAGACTGATATATACAGTGATGGTGCAGAGATGGCAGGAGCAGTGGAATAGAGATAATAAGGGCAGGCATTTATTTCAAGTACAGAGGAAAGTCGGGGAGGGGAGGACGGCAGGAAGGGACAGAAGAGAGGAGGTTATTTTTTACAAGATTAAGGGTGGGACACAGCCAGTTGAATAAGACATTAAATGTGATAGGAAAGTATCCAACAGGAAAGTGTGATTATTGTCAGGAAATAGAGACTGTGGCGCATGTATTGCTACAGTTTAGGCAGTATCAGAGGGAAAGAGAGGATGATATCTAGTATGAGTGAGAAGGGGATACAGGAAATTAGTTTAAATATTATATTGAGTAGAACGTCATTAGATTAGAAATAGTCTCAAATATTTTGTTATCTTTTTTAAGAGCAATGGGGCTGGCAGGTAGGATTTAGTTTCTCCCTGTCTCTGGCCCACACTCCAGTACAGTAGGTGGTGGTAATGCACCATAACGTTGGATGCCAACCGCCGACAAACCCCACTGAAGAAGAAGAAGAAATACAATTAGGTGGACATGTCACTTTAAGAACGTCGGTGAACACGTGTGCAGCGCTCTTCACTTGGAGAAAAAAAAAGTTTGACATACATTTCTGAAATTACCAAGGAAGTCATCCATTTTTTACCTGCCAACAATCGTCTAAAGAGAAAGTACTGCATACTGTCCGAGAAATTAACTTGGACAGTGATACGATGGACGGGATAGCCCAGGTAACGACAGCGTCTGAAAAAGTGTTTATGTTCGCTAAATAAAATGTTCAACCCACTTCTATTGCGCAAAAGTATTGCGTGGTGGTCTATTTGTGTGTTGGTTGCATGCCTATCATCTAATGACAACTTTGTCTACTTAGTTAGTTAATAAAAAACATTGTTTACCTTTGTTTCCTGAATATCAAAAGAAAATTCAGACTTCAGGATTTACTCTGGACCTGGGACCCTTGAAAGAGCCCTTGGCATTTATTAGAGTGCTCGAATGGGTAAGTTTGTTAATGTTTTTCTAGCTATTTATTATTAAGCTATAATGTAGCCCAGTATGTACTCTTAAGGACCTTAACTTGACCATTCCTCCTTAAGGTACACGGACCTTTTATATGTTATTTTCAGAGGTAGACTGGCTCTGGCAGCCAAAACAGCCAGATACTCCATCTAAAGGTGACTCGATTCTCGATTGCTGAACGGTTCTAGGAACATAAAGCCCTCTACTTTCATATCACATCAAAAATAATTTCACAAATGCGAAATGCACACTTACTGTACAATATTTTAACCGGCTTTATCACAGTTGCAGCTGACAGTATTTTTCAGTGACATGTTTCTGGCGGCCTTCTTCCATTACACTGAGTATGCAAAATAGCTAATCGGGTCATTCCTACAACGTGGTGCCTTTTTTGGCCCCAGGAAATATAACTTATTATTTAGTGTAAAATGTGGACAATTAGCACAAGTGGTCCCTCTGTCTTCGTCTGTCTTCTGTAAAGACGCGCTGTAACATGGAGACATGGCCGTGTGGGAACACTAAACACTAACCCTGTAAAGGTGTGTATCAATTGAACTTTATTTTAATATTTTTAATATAATTTCATGCTGATATAAACGATATGGTCCTTATGCTTCCAAAACCGTACCGCAAAGCGATATGTTAATGTTCAGACCGAGTGTTCCGCTCTTAACAAAACTCCCCCGTACAGAAGACGCCTTCGTTCAACAACCCTTATGTGTCATGGAATTGAGTCATGATCAAGGGCTAGCGATCATCTGGCCTATCATGGGGAGAACCTCAATGACTTGAAATGAATGTTTTTATTTTGTATAAATATGCAGGGCTTGGTCTATGTAGAGGTAGTCGGATTAATTAGGCTGTAATACACAATTCATTGGTTTATACAGCCTGAAAATATGACTTCAAAATCGTGTAAAATGTTCCTTACAATTCAGAATGTTGAAAACAATTACATGTGAATTTACTCTACCGGTTGACTGTGGTGTTGGTCCAGATGGTCGAAATTTGAGACAAAATATCCACAGCAAAGTGTTGTTTACCCAACTTTTTAGAGTGCAGGAACTGAAGTTCAATTTTCTTTCACCTGGCACATGCTTAAAACCATGTAAACACCTGCTGACTTCAGTTAGTATCACTGAGGTATGGTTAGTATCCATGCATTGTGTGCATGTACTTCCGTCTTGTGCACATGCCTTCGGTCATGAGCAAACATATGTGTGCAAGCGATGCATGCATACTAACTTAAATCAGCAGGTATTTACATGGTCCAGGTTATCGAAAAAGTTGGGCAAACAATACTTTCCTGTCAATATTTTTTTCTCAAATTGAGGACAAACTGCACAGACAACCGGTAGAGTAAGTTCAAATGTAATTAAATTCATCATTCTGGCTTGTAAGGAACATCTACACGACTTTGCAGTCATTAGTTTCAGAATGTATGTATATAACAGCCTGATTTAATCAGACTAATGCAGAGGGTGCCTTTTTTTTTTAACCGTGTCACCAGCCACCCTGCATAGCAGCAGAATGGGTTTCAAATGGATTGAAACTAGCTGGTGTTGTGACGTACTGCAGGCCCATAGTTGGTGATCTCACTGTGACCTCCTCCTGTTATTTATCATGTAACAATTTGGAAGTCCCGACCTCGACTATACCGTAACAACTTAATTGTTGCAAACTAAATATGAAAGATGGTAGCAATCTGTTCATTTACAAGATGCAACAAATGTATATTTTTGCAAAGAATGTTGACTGCCTGTGACACCAAAAACAATAGAAGACGGACTCAGAACTCGTCTGGAGATCCTTTAGATCTCGCTGAAATGTGATATTTTACCAGTATATTATTATTATTATTATTATTATTATTATTATACAATATTCACCACACTATACTATGACCTCTGTAGAGTATCAATACAACAAGGCTCTACACAGCCATCTGTGAGGTGGCGTCTCTTGACATTGCATCCTGTATCACATCCTGTATCGCATGTATTAAAGGAGTGTTTTACTCAGGCTAATAAAACCACTTCTCTCTACGGTGTGAGACCATCATGACGGTTTACATTTACATTTCAGTCATTTAGCAGACGCTCTTATCCAGAGCGACTTACAGTTAGCGAGTGCATACATCTTTCATACTACTACTACTAGTCGATTGCTCTACTGTGTTTTTTTTGTTTCTATAGTCAAGTGATAATCACTTCCTGTGAGGAAGGATGCCCTTCTGTAGAGGAAATCGTGTGTGAGCGGGAGAGGAAGCCCGTCGATCATCCACGATGACTCGCTGTGCATGATCCAGTCATAATAATAATAATAATAATAATATGCCATTTAGCAGACGCTTTTATCCAAAGCGACTTACAGTCATGCGTGCATACATTTTATGTGTGTATGGGTGGTCCCGGGGATCGAACCCACTACCTAGGCGTTACAACCGCCGTGCTCTACCAGCTGACCTACAGAGGACCACCTAGTTGTCTTACTCCACTTTCTACTGTCGGTAGTTTTTATCTGATCCGTTACCAGACCGGTCAACTCCCGTCACTTCAGACTGCTATGAACCTGTAAAGCAAACTGCCGTTTAGTTAGCACAGGGTGCCATAGTCGTGTTCTAATCTGCACTGTTTGGACTGAATGTCATTTCAGAAAGAGTTATATGTCCAGTTATGCACTGTGTCCTGTCCCGTGTAGCTCAGTTGGTACAGCATGGCGTTTTGCAACGCCAGGGTTGTGGGTTCGATTCCCACGGGGGGGCCAGTATGAAAAAATAAATAAAATAAATAATAAAATGTATGCACTCACTAACTGTAAGTTGCTCTGGATAAGAGCGTCTGCTAAATGACTAAAATCTAAAATCTGTCCTTATTTGGCTTTGTCTGTCTGCAGGTCTTCTCCATATTTGCCTTCGCTACGACGTCGGGCTATGCCGGCTCTACGAGCATCAATGTGCAGTGCCAGGGTAACGGCAGCCAAGAAATCACTGCTGCCTTTAACTACCCGTTCAGGTAAGCAGAACAGGAGTAAACAGATTCATCGTATGGGTGTGTGATGTTTCTGTTCAAAGTGGCTTGTTATTATAATTGGGTTGTGTTCAGCGGGGCACACTGAAGCGAAATGTTTTGCGACAAAATAAACGAACATCTGTATTTTTACGGGACAAGCTCAGCCGAGTACCTCCCCGTTTTCACTCCGTTACAAAAACATTTCCCAAATGTCTACCTACTGAACATGACCCTATACTACATGTCTCTACACCCAAAAACGAATGTGTTCTTATTGGCCCATTTCTGGTAGTACCTCCCTGTTTCACTTAGTTTTCTCCTTACTGAACACCACCCTCTCTCTACACATCTGTTCCCCACAGGCTGATGGCCCATCCATACAGCGTCCCCTCCTGTAAGAACGACTCCAGTACCATCCAGCTCTATCTGACCGGCGACCACTCCTCCTCAGCTGAGTTCTACGTCTGTATTGGGGTGTTTGCCTTCCTCTACAGTGCCGCCAGCCTGGTGATCTACCTTGGCTACCAACACGTCTACAGGCAGACCAGCCGTGGCCCCATTGTGGTGAGTTATCTGGGAATTGTTTCGTCCGTGCTCTTTGTAGTGGTGAATGGAAGGTGTAGATGTTAGTCTACAGAATGACTTGGAACACTAAAGAGTTTGAGCGTTGGCACGAAATAGCTATAGACACTTGACAACTGCGTGAGATGGGCACTTAACGAGAGAAAGGGATCTTAACAGTGGTCTGTAAATGAAGAACTGGAACTGGGGAGGGTGAAGGGTGTGTTCATCTGGAGGTGGGTGGGTGGGTGGGGGGTGGACCTATGGAACTGGGGGTGGCAATCCAAGAAATTGTCATTGAACATTTTGGTTGCTTGTGGACCAACAGATCTGGGTGAAGTACATTGTCAGATATTTGAGGTGCACTTGATTTAGTTTTCCTGGTACAATGGATTAGTCCCAAAAGTGCAAACTCCAAGCTGAATCAAGCGAACATCAAATACTTTCAAATCTTTGACGTTGTCTATTTAACCCACAACTGCTTCACTAATTCAAGTTTCACACAATCGGATGCAAAACAATGCAAATCAAAAGCCTGATAACTAATGATTTGGATTTGGTGGTGGTGGGATGCAGGAATACGCTGTTGTGAAGAAGTCAGGTTGTTATATGGACTGTTTACATACTGTTTGTAGGCGGGTTCGTCTGATTTTAAGTTCCAACTTTCGTCTTGAACCTGCATTTATATACTTTATTTACCATGTCTCCTATCCTTCCAACAGGACCTGCTGGTGACCGGAGCCTTCACCTTCCTGTGGTTGGTGTCCTCCTCTGCCTGGGGTAAAGGCCTGACTGACGTGAAGTGGGCCACCAGCCCCTCTAACCTGGTAGGCTTAATCTCCACCTGCAAGGACGTCGGCAACAAGTGCACACCAGGAGCAGTGCCTCACATGGGGCGACTCAACTCCTCTGTGGTAGGCTACTACATGTAGAGTTATTAATATTGGTTACTTACAGTGCCCTCCTGAATTATTGGCACCCTAGGTAAATATGGACAAAAGGCTGTGAAAAAATGTAATTGTTGTTTATCAGCTTGATCTTACACTTACAATATCATATTAATCTAAACTTTAATTGAGTAAAACAAATTCTAAAATGTTTTTTGTCGTCAAGAAATAATAAATAATTATGTTATGTTTGATGAGGTGGGAGAAAACATAGAAAGGGATTTGAGACCATTCCTCCGTACAGAAACTCTCCAGATCCTTCAGTCCTTGGTCCTGGCTTGTGGACTCTCCTCTTCACCCCACAGGTTTAGGTCAGAGCACTGGGATGGTCTTTGCAAAAGCTTGATTCTATGGTCAGTGAAACATTTTCGTGGCAGAGGCAGACAAGTTTTGGCCTAAAATCTCCTGGTACTTGGAGTCCATAATGCCATGTATCCTAACAAGTTTCCCAGGGCCTTTGGAAGTAAAACAGCCCCACAACATCACAGATCCACCACCACACTTCACAGATCCACCACCACACTTCACAGATCCACCACCACACTTCACAGATCCACCACCACACTTCACAGTGGGGATTAGGTTATTTTCTGCATGACCATATGGCTGTTTGTACTCCAAAGCAACCTCTGGTGTTTGTTGCCAAAAAAAGCTCTCTTTTTATCTCCTCACACCATAGAACCTGCTTCCAGTCAAAGTTCCAATGACATTTAGCAAACTCCAGGCGTTTACGTTTGGTGACAGCAGAGGCTTTCTTCTGGCAACACTTCCAAATAACTTGCTGGCATGGAGATGGCGTCTAATTGTAGTTTTGGAGACTCGGTGACCCCAAGATGTAACCAACTTCTGCAATTCTCCAACTGTGATCCTTGGAGACATTTTTGCCACTTGAACCATCCTTTTCACTGTGCGTGAGGGCAAAATACACTTGCATCCTCTTCCAGGCAGGTTAATCACAGCTCCAGTTGTTTTAAATTTCTTAATTATTGCTTTAATAGCGGAGATGGGTATTTTCAGGCGTGTAGCTATCTTTTTTTTAATAGCTATTGCCTCATTTGTGAAGGTTAACAACTTTTTGTCTCATTTCATTTGTGTGTTCTCTGGCCTTTCCCATGTTGATGGATGACTAAGGGAGTTTAGCCTGTGTGTCACCTCATATTTATACCTCAGTGAAACAGGAAGTCAAGGATGACCACTTAAGAGTTCCCAAAGACTCAGATGAACTTTAAAAAAAAAAAGTAAAATCTTAATTGGAATATACATCAATTTAGATTTTGTTCATAATAATTTCTAGGGGTTCCAATAATTGTGACGCATATTTTTGAATAAAATAATTATTTCTTGATGACGATTCATATGATATTTTGAGGGTAAGATTAAGCTTTTAATACAGCGCCTTTTGTTCATATTTACCAATAATTCAGGAGAGGGCTGTATTATCTGTACACTGAGGGGGAAAAAGTATTTGATCCCCTGCTGATTTTGTACGTTTGCCCACTGACAAAGACATGATCAGTCTATCATTTTAATGGTAGGTTTATTTGAACAGTGAGAGACAGAATAACAACAAAAAAATCCAGAAAAACGCATGTCAAAAATGTTGTAAATTGATTTGCATTTTAATGAGGGGAAATAAGTATTTGACCCCTCTGCAAAACATGACTTAGTACTTGGCGGCAAATCCCTTGTTGGCAATCACAGAGGTCAGACGTTTCTTGTAGTTGGCCACCAGGTTTGCACACATCTCAGGAGGGATTTTGTCCCACTCCTCTTTGCAGATCTTCTCCAAGTCATTAAGGTTGTCGAGGCTGACGTTTGGCAACTTGAACCTTCAGCTCACTCCACAGATTTTCTATGGGATTAAGGTCTGGAGACTGGCTAGGCCACTCCAGGACCTTAATGTGCTTCTTCTTGAGTCACTCCTTTGTTGCCTTGGCCGTGTGTTTTGGGTCATTGTCATGCTGGAATACCCATCCACGACCCATTTTCAATGCCCTGGCTGAGGGAAGGAGGTTCTCACCCAAGATTTGACGGTACATGGCCCCGTCCATCGTCCCTTTGATGAGGTGAAGTTGTCCTGTCCCCTTAGCAGAAAAACACCCCCAAAGCATAATGTTTCCACCTCCATGTTTGACGGTGGGGATCGTGTTCTTGGGGTCATAGGCAGCATTCCTCCTCCTAACACGGTGAGTTGAGTTGATGCCAAAGAGCTCGATTTTGGTCTCATCTGACCACAACACTTTCACCCAGTTCTCCTCTGAATCATTCAGATGTTCTTTGGCAAACTTCTAACGGCCCTGTATATGTGCTTTCTTGAGCAGGGGGACCTTGCGGGTGCTGCAGGATTTCAGTCCTTCACGGCGTAGTGTGTTACCAATTGTTTTCTTGGTGACTATGGTCCCAGCTGCCTTGAGATCATTGACAAGATCCTCCCGTGTAGTTCTGGGCTGATTCCTCACCGTTCTCATGATCATTGCAACTCCATGAGGTGAGATCTTGCATGGAGCCCCAGGCCGAGGGAGATTGACAGTTCTTTTGTGTTTCTTCCATTTGCAAATAATCGCACCAACTGTTGTCACCTTCTCACCAAGCTGCTTGGCGATGGTCTTGTAGCCCATTCCAGCCTTGTGTAGGTCTACAATCTTGTCCCTGACATCCTTGGAGAGCTCTTTGGTCTTGGCCATGGTGGAGAGTTTGGAATCTGATTGATTGATTGCTTCTGCGGACAGGTGTCTTTTATACAGGTAACGAGCTGAGATTAGGAGCACTCCCTTTAAGAGTGTGCTCCTAATCTCAGCTCGTTACCTGTATAAAAGACACCTGGGAGCCAGATATCTTTCTGATTGAGAGGGGGTCAAATACTTATTTCCCTCATTAAAATGCAAATCAATTTACAACATTTTTTACATGCGTTTTTCTGGATTTTTTTGTTGTTATTCTGTCTCTCACTGTTCAAATAAACCTACCATTAAAATGATAGACTGATCATTTATTTGCCAGTGGGCAAACGTACAAAATCAGCAGGGGATCAAATACTTTTTTCCCTCACTGTACATGGGTGGAATCTGGGAAATCATCCTGGGAACTCTGCTCAAAAACAAGTTTTACATGTCAACCTGAGTTTTTGCTTGCCCCCCCCCCCCCCTCCCCTCAATTACAGCCCTGGCTGCAGAATTCCATCCATGTCTCTTCCATATACCGTCAATTTAATTTTATGAAGAAATTGTAATGTGGAGCCATTACCATTTGATGCATGCCATTGAGAAATGTGACACTTCCTTACTAAGAAACATGTTTTTTGTCCTGACTAAAATATGTGTTTTTTTTGTGGCAGATCTTTGGATTTCTCAACCTGATATTGTGGGGTGGTAACTGCTGGTTCATCTTTAAGGAGACGCCCTTCCACAAGTCAGCCAACCCCCCTGGTGACGCCGAGGAGGGGTCAGGGGTCAGGCCTTCCTAACTGGACAGCTCCCTGCTGTCAACGGCTGCGTTCCAGACTGCATGCGAAGCAGTCGCACAAATTAACCAATCTTTGGGGGCGCTACTAGAAATGTCTTCTAGTAGCTTTATTAAGTTGGAAACAGTTTCTTTCATGAATTGCCAACATTGACAGCTTCACGTTTATTATTCAGAAGTGTTCGAGGTGGTGCGTTTTGAAGATGTCTAAACGGGTACAAAACTGAATCCAGCAAATATGCCATAAATATAAGTCATAGCTAGTTTTATTTCAGAACTACTTTTGTTTCATGCAGTCAACTGTTTTTTAGTTTAACAGTACATCTTAACACAATGCAACGATCAAATGCGTCCCTCAGTTTATTCAGAAAGAGTCGAGACGTGTGAATTTATTTTGTTGATCGGAAAACCAGTGTTTTTCGTCTCACACTGTTACTTTGTGGATAGTTTAGTGTTTTTGTTGTATTAAAAAAAAGCAAGCTGTTATTCTCTCACACTCTGCTTGTTATTTGCCAGTTAAAATAGTCACTCTATTTTAAATGGTCACAGACATTACAAGTGATGCCAAAAGCCAGGGATCATCAACTATTGTAGATTCAGCTGAAGGCCATTATATATTATTTTGTGGATGGTCGGGGGACCGGAAAACATTTAATTACAAATTATTTATTGACTGCAAGAAGCCCAATTTAGATATCATATTTGACTGAAACATAATTTCAAACCTTGCTTACATTTGAATACGATCACATATCTCTCTATTATGCGTGGGAATACTTTGGAACAGATTTTCTCAATTAAAATCACTTGGTGCTGATTTGCTGTGTTTTTATGTCAAAAAATTATAAAAAACAGTTGGGGAACCCTGCCATAAGCAACAGTACTTACTTTCATATAAGGTTTGAAATGTGCCTTTTTTCTGTTGTTCGGCATGGTTTGTGATATTGTTTTAATTTAACAACGTTTTGTAAGAAAATAAAGCCATCAAACTCCTGTTTTCACGCCTACCTCACAGTATTCATGACACGTCCCTTTTTCACCTACCATTTCAGTTTTTACCGCTCAATTCTTAACATTTCAGTACCACTTCAGTTTCAGTTCTTACCAATGCAGTTCTTACCATTTCAGTACTTACCATTTCAGTACCTCTTCAGTTTCAGTTCTTACCATTTCAGTTCTTACCATTTCAGTTCTTACCAATACAGTTCTTACCATTTCAGTTCTTACCATTTCAGTACCTCTTCAGTTTCAGTTCTTACCAATGCAGTACTTACCATTTCAGTACTTACCATTTCAGTACCTCTTCAGTTTCAGTTCTTACCATTTCAGTTCTTACCAATACAGTTCTTACCATTTCAGTTCTTACCATTTCAGTACCTCTTCAGTTTCAGTTCTTACCAATGCAGTACTTACCATTTCAGTACTTACCATTTCAGTACCTCTTCAGTTTCAGTTCTTACCAATACAGTTCTTACCATTTCAGTACCTCTTCAGTTATGCAAAAATACTGAAGACTGGTTTAAGTTACTTGTACGTTTTTGTGCCTCTCTTCTACCTCAACATGTGATAAGGCAGAACTTCTTCTAGCTGTCAACTACTTCCTGTTCATGTAGTGCTCCCCATCGGCTTTCAATTCACCTTGTATTTTATGTTTCAAATGATCACCTTCGTTCGATATAAACTCAGCAAAAAAAAGAAACGTCCCTTTTTCAGGACCCTGTCTTTCAAAGATAATTCGTAAAAATCCAAATAACTTCACAGATCTTCATTGTAAAGGGTTTAAACACTTTCCCATGCTTGTTCAATGAACCATAAACAATTAATGAACATGTACCTGTGGAATGGTCGTTAAGACTCTAACAGCTTACAGACGGTAGGCAATTAAGGTTACAGTTATGAAAACTTAGGACACTAAAGAGGCCTTTCTACTGACTCTGAAAGAAAGGGTCCCTGCTCATCTGCGTGAACGTGCCTTAGGCATGCTGCAAGGAGGCATGAGGACTGCAGATGTGGCCAGGGCAATAAATTGCAATGCCCATACTGTGAGACACCTAAGACAGCGCTACAGGGAGACAGGACAGACAGCTGATCGTCCTCGCAGTGGTAGACCACGTGTAACAACACCTGCACAGGATCGGTACATCCGAACATCACACCTGCGGGACAGGTACAGGATGGCAACAACAACTGCCCGAGTTACACCAGGAACGCACAATCCCTCCATCAGTGCTCAGACTGTCCGCAATAGGCTGAGAGAGGCTGGACTGAGGGCTTGTAGGCAGGTCCTCACCAGACATCACCGGCAACAACGTCGCCTATGGGCACAAACCCACCGTCGCTGGACCAGACATGACTGGCAAAAAGTGCTCTTCACTGACGAGTCGCGGTTTTGTCTCACCAGGGGTGATGGTCGGATTCGCGTTGATCGTCGAAGGAATGAGCGTTACACCGAGGCCTGTACTCTGGAGCGGGATCGATTTGGAGGTGGAGGGTCCGTCATGGTCTGGGGCAGTGTGTCACAGCATCATCGGACTGAGCTTGTTGTCATTGCAGGCAATTTCAACGCTGTGCATTACAGGGAAGACATCCTCCTCCCTCATGTGGTACTCTTCCTGCAGGCTCATCCTGACATGACCCTACAGCATGACAATGCCACCAGCCATACTGCTCGTTCTGTGCGTGATTTCCTGCAAGACAGGAATGTCAGTGTTCTGCCATGGCCAGCGAAGAGCCCGGATCTCAATACTATTGAGCACGTCTGGGACCTGTTGGATCGGAGGGTGAGGGCTATGGCCATTCCCCCCAGAAATGTCTGGGTACTTGCAGGTGCCTTGGTGGAAGAGTGGGGTAACAATCTCACAGCAAGAACTGGCAAATCTGGTGCAGTCTATGAGGAGGAGATGCACTGCAGTACTTAATACAGCTGGTGGCCACACCAGATACTGACTGTTACTTTTGATTTTGACCCTCCCCTTTGTTCCGGGACACATTAGTCAATTTCTGTTAGTCACATGTCTGTGGAACTTGTTCAGTTTTATGTCTCAGTTGTTGAATCTTGTTATGTTCTTACAAATATTTACACATGTTAAGTTTGCTGAAAATAAACGCAGTTGACAGTGAGAGGACGTTTATTTTCTTGCTGAGTTTAGTTTTATTTGGAGAGAAACAAGGTCAAATGTTATGTATCATTTTGCAAACAAGGTGGTCTTATAAAATGCTATAAATTATTAAAGGGAAAGAGTTGCCTAGGTAATGTGTCTAAATGACTATCACCCCATTACACTCACACACCTGGCGCCGACGAAGATGGCGGCCTCGCGACTAGCTCTTAGGAAACTTTGCGGTATTTTTTTTAATGTATTATTTTTTACATTATTAGCTCAGAAAGTGTTTTGTATCATTACATACAGCCGGGAAAAACTATTGGATATCAGAGCGGCGGTAACTCACCAGCATTACGACCAGGAATACGACTTTCCCAAAGCAGATCCTTTGTTTGCTCTTCCCAGGTGCAATTGAACTGATTCCAGCGGCTGACCCAAAACATCGCCGGCGGAGGAGAGGCACTCGGAGCGGCCTGCTGGTGTGCACACCACCCACCGCTTCCAAGTATATTACTCGCTAATGTTCAGTCTTTGGATAACATGGTCGACGAGCTCAGGGCAAGGATTTCTTTCCAGAGAGACATCAAGGCCTGTAACATACTTTGTTTCACGGAAACATGGCTCTCTGGGGATATTCTGTCGAAATCGGTCCAGCCAGATGGGTTCTCAGTTCATTGCGCAGACAGAAATAAATATCTCTCCGGATAGCAGAAGGGTGGAGGTGTGTGTTTCATGATTAACGACTCATGGTGTAATTGTAGTAACATACAGGAACTCAAGTCCTTTTGTTCACCCGACCTAGAATACCTCACAATCAAATGCCGACCGTAATATCTCCCAAGATAATTTTCTTCAGTTATAGTCACGGCCGTGTATATCCCCCCTCAAGCCGATACCACGACGGCCCTCAAAGAACTTCACTGGACTTTATGCAAACTGGAAACCACATATCCTGAGGCTGCATTTATTGTAGCCAGGGATTTTAACAAGGCAAATTTGAGGACTAGGCTGCCGAAGTTCTATCAACATATCGACTGTTGTACTCGGGCTGCTAAAATCCTCGACCATTGCTATTCGAACTTCCGGGGTGGCTACAAGGACCTCCCCCGCCCTCCTTTCGGCAAATCTGCCCACGACTCCATTTTGCTCCTCCCTTCCTATAGGCAGAAACTCAAACAGGAAGTACCCGTGCTAAGGACTATTCAATGCTGGTCTGACCAATCGGAATCCACGCTTCAAGATTGTTTTGATCACGTGGACTGGGATATGTTCCGGGTAGCTTCCGAAAATTATTTTGACAAATACACTGAAACAGTGACTGAGTTTATCAGAAAGTGTATAGGAGATGTAGTGCCCACTGTGACTATTAAAACCTACCCTAACCAGAAACCGTGGATAGATGGCAGCATTTGCGCAAAATTGAAAGCGCGAACCACCGCATTTAACCATGGCAAGGTGACTGGGAAAATGGCAGAATACAAACAGTGTAGCTACTCACTCCGCAAGGTAATTAAACTGGCAAGACATCAGTATAGAGACAAAGTGGAGTCGCAATTCAACGGCTCAGACACGAGACGTATTTGGCAGGGTCTACAGACAATCACAGACTACAAAAGGAAAACCAGCCATGTCGCTGACACTGACGTCTCGCGTCCAGACAAGCTAAACACCTTTGTTATGGGTGGAAGATGGCACAATGATGCCATCTGTTGGTAAATGTTAATTACTGCAACTCCAGTGTTTTACCGGTGTACTTGAGATATCCGGATGTATTGCAATATACTGAACAAGACTGGGTACTCGCATCAATGCCTCTGCCTCGTCATTGAACATTCAAACATGGTGTCAGAGTCGGATAACTAACCATGCTTTCAGCAAATTAGAGTCACCTGTTCTGGTTTTTAAAAAAAGAAAAAAAAGAAGCTTAGTTGAGTAAAACTTCTCCGGAATTGTCCTTAGCTAGATTGAGTTTGCTAGTTAGCTTCAGTGTTGTTAGCACCGTTTAGACATGGCAGAGAACATTTCCCCTCCCGCCGTTATGAAGCTCAGCGGAGATTGGAGCACAAACTGGGATACGTTTAGAGGTGAATGGGAGGACTATGCACTAGCAACGGGACTTCGGGAAAAGGACGATGAGGTAGTGGCTGCCACTTTGAGGACTATAATGGGAGCTGAATGCCGACACGTATACAAACACAACCTGAACCGAACAGCAGCTCAGCAAGGTAACGCTACAGCTATTCTTGATGCTCTCCAACTTTACTTTAAGCCAGCAAAGAACGTTATCTACGAGCGTTATGTTTTCGGTTGTTGCAAACAGGAGGACGGGGAGTCCATTGACAGCTTTGTCACTAAGCTAAGGGAAAAGGCAGCTACATGTGACTATGGTGCTTTAAGAGATGAACTGATCAGAGACGAGATAGTGCTTGGCATAACTGATGAGGGCACCCGCAGACGTTTGCTGAGAGAACGTGACCTGACACTGGTCTTGGCAGTGGAGACATGCCGTGCAGCAGAGCTTACGGATATACAGATAAGGTCCATGGAGCTAGAAAGGCAACATATGGACAATGTCAATGCTACATTCAGGCAGCCAGTAAAGAAATTCCCTTTTGCCACAGCTAATGCTAATA